CAATGACAGGACAGAGTACAGTAAAGAGATGGAGAGCTTAGTGGTATGGTGTAAAGAAAACAATCTGTCCCTCAATGTCAGCCAAACAAACGAGCTGGTCATCAGGAAGCAGAGTGGAGGACACATCCCTGTCTGTCTCAATGATACTAAGGCAGAGATGGTTGAAAGCTTCAAGTTCCTTGGAATAAATATCACCAACAATCTATCCGTGTTCATCGCCTCTACTTTCTCAGGAAGCTAAGGAAATTCAGCATGTCCACAATAACACTCACCAATTTTTATAGATGATACCATGGAAAGCAATGCAAGTAATTACAGAGAATTGTGAACACAGCCCAGTCCATCACGAAAACCAGCCTTCCTTCCATTGACTCCGTCTATACTTCCCGCTGCCTTGGGAAACCAGCCAACATAATCGAAGACCCCTCTCACCCCCATTATACTCTCTTCAACCTTCTTCCATTGGGCAGAAGATACAAAAGTTTGAAAACACATATCAACAGATTCAAGAACAGCTTCTTCCCTGCCATTGTCATACTTATGAACAGATGTCTCATTTATTAAAGTTAATCTTTCTCTGCACCTTCTCTGTAGCTGTAACACTATATTCTGTATTCTGTTCTATTACCCCCCGATGTACTTATGTAAGGTACAATTTTTCTGGATAGCACACAAAACTATAATTTTCACTGTATCTTGATACGTGTGACAATAATAAATCAAATCAAATCAATGTACCTGTCCAAATGTCATTCAGAAGCTGACCTGATGCTGTAAAATAACAGAGGGCTAGGATGTGTCAAGCCCAAAATGGTATCGGACAGACCAAGAAGTGTAGGATGAGGGCTTATGACCTACTCCTTTACCCTGCACCAGTTAAAATTCGGGATTGAGAGAATGGGACTGGTCATCCTGCAATCAGGTCCTGCCCACCATGTTGAGATGGCTCTGGAGTGATTCTCACTGCCAAGAAATAAAGGCCCCAATCATGGTAATCATCCACAAGTTTCGCCTACGAGAGACACACTGGCAGCTAAAAGCACTGCAGCTGATTCCTAACATGTACACCTTTCTTTCGGAGAACTTGGACCAGTCCAATTAAATAGATAACAAATTGCCCTGAGAACTCAGAAAGATCCCCCATCTCAACTATTAACAACTTGCCTGAGGTGGCAGAATTAAGGGTCTCCCACAATATAAATAATTGGGGTTTATAGGCACTCCCTTGCCCTGCCATCAATTAAAAAATTGAAAGTTAAGAAGTTGTGGAGCAAGCTGACTGCTCATTTTAATTCAGTCCTGGTTTAGTGGTGCTGAGATTGATAGGATTTGGCTCAGGGACAAACTTCCGAGTTGTTCTCAGGGGCTTCATAAATTCAGTAAAAGAAGTGAGTGTCTGGCTGCGAGGAAGTTCTCCCAAGTCCTGATCACAATATTTTAATGACCGGCTCCCCCAAGTTCAAGCTCTGCATTACACAATTTACAGGGCAAATGGAGGCCATTCAGCCCATCAATCCAGTGTCAGGTCTGAAGCTTTTCATTTAATCCCCAATCCCTGCTTTTTTTTCCTGTATCTTATTATGAATCCAGTTCAGTTGGCAGGTACAACAAATAGGCTAATTAAACTTTCAGTTTTATCTCAAAGAGGCTACGAGTTACCGCAGTAAGAGCTCTGATTACACCCTGTCTGCAATAATTCAGTCCTGGATATTACACCTTGGAGCAAGAACAGCAACCATTCACTTGAATGATGTTGGGCCTAAATTGCCAGAACAGGTTGCATAGCCTCGACCTATGGAATATTAAGGGAAGATCCATTTGAGTTGTTTAAAGTGATGAAGGGAGTCAAGAAGGTCGACAAACTGAAATGATTTACTCTGGTTGGAGAGTCCAGAATGGTGGCTCATAACCTTACAAGTAGAATAAGACTGATATCATCTTTATAAAAAGCATGGTTAAAGCCTGGAACCATCTGCCCACCACATAGCTGCAGATGCTGGGATTTTAGTTGAGCGGTGGTGGGGTGGGGGGTGAGTTCCCACAATTGGAAATTTCAAAATGAAGAAGGAGAGATTTTTGGTGTCTGTGAGTTTGAAGGAATATGTAGATAAGGTGAAAAAATAGAGACGGCCATGATCTAACTGAATAGAACAATCTCAAGACACTGAATAAACTCTTCCTATTCCAGTGTTCATATTTCTACGCTACAATCCATGTTTGAATGATGTTACAGGGATGTGATTAGACACTAAATACAATAATGCTGTTATTTAATTGCTATTTTCACATGGATAGCAATCATTCAGTGAGATAGGGGCGAAACATCCTAAAGAATCCAAACATAACAAAAACACTCACTGTTGTACTGGTGAAACACACAGCCATCACCTCAAACAGGCCTGGAGATGAATGGTCAACTAATCTTTATTGATGTTGGTTGAGAGTCAAACATTGGATACTTGGAGAATCCGACTGAATTATGACATTCTATCAAGTCAGTACCAATGGTTGTTTCCCCAAGAACCAACTTGTCCTGTCCCAATCCCTACACTCTTATTACCCTACATTTGTATCCTCTTTTTAGTATTGAAATGGCCTGTGGAAACTGTATCACTGCTTCTCGTATCAATATTCTTCATTACCTCAAAGGAATCTCAGGACTGTCCTAAACCTCTCCCAGTCCAGTTTTAAAAAAACTCAACGTTTTCAAGTCTCCCCTTATATCTGAAGCTCATTGTGGTTGAATTGTACTGAATCTATGCAGCAGCTTTTGCTATTGGCTTCACATGCATTTCATATCAAGGATAGAACCTCATTTCTAGGCCCAGTCTGACCCCCTGTTCTCACTGTATTTAAGATGACCTTAGACTTGCATTAACATTCACTGGTGTGTTACACCTGCCAGTTCATAGGATTTCTGAAGAAGGGTCTAGGCCCAAAACGTCAGCCTTCCTGCTCCTCTGATGCTGCTTGGCCTGCTGTGTTCATCCAGCTCTACACCTTGTATATCTCAGATTCTCCAGCATCTGCAGTTCCTACTATCTCTGAGTTCATAGGAGATTCTGGTTTGTGAACCAAAATGGAGACATCCATTCAGGAAGGCAAAGTAAGCATTGAGAACACTAATTGGGAACATGCAGGGGTGAAGTCGAGGTTTCAGAGGGGGAGAACCACCTGCCCACATGCGGTGGTGTCTATAAATCACCAATCTCAGAGCCCGTCAGACTGAAGAAGAAAGAAGTCCTTCTTGATTCCTTCTTGATAAAAATACCTTGATGCTGTCTAACACACCATGCATTGTTATCTAGTTAATGTGATCAAAACAGCCTCATTGTAGCCAACCCTGTTTATAACTTCGCAGGAGTTGTAAAAAAGAGCCCAAATTCACAAGCTTCCCAATAGGTTTTTTATATAAAGTAGTTTCAAAATTACATCTGACAGGCTATCTGTGACAGGCAGCTTTGAAATCTTTTGGTTTCTATAACAGGACAGTTCCTCTTTGCTATATTTTTATAATGGATGGGTTTTATAATAGACACGTACCGTAGAATAATGGTTATCTTACTAAACAAGTAATGCAGGGACGTATATTAACAATTCCAGATTTAAATCCCACAGAAGTGTAACTTGGACAAGTTAAGTAAGTGGGTAAATGCATGGCAAATGCAGTATACTGTGGATAAACGTGAGGTTCTTCACTTTAGTAGCAAAAAGAGGAAGGCAGATTATTATCTAAAAGGTGATAGTTTGGGAAAGAGGGATGTGCAATGAGCCCAGGTGTCCTTGTACACCAGTCCCTGATAGTGAGTTTGCAGGTGTAGCAGGCAGTGAAGGAGGCAAATGGTACATTGGTAATTGTACATGGCCTCAATGAGACTACACCTGGAGTATTGTGTGCAGTTTTTGTCTCCTTATCTGAGGATGGATATTCTGGCGATGGTGGGAGTGTATGCTTACCAAACTGATTCCTGTGATGGTAGGACTGATCTATGAAGAGAAAATAGATCAGTTGGGATTATATTCTTTGGAGTTTAGAAGATTGAGGGGAATCTTGTAGAGATCTATAAAATTCTGACAGAACTAGACAGGGTAAACACATGAAGGGTGTTCCAGATGAGCTCAGTGTCCAAAGCAACAGTCAGTTTAAGGTTATGGGGTAAGTCATTTAGGACAGAGGTGTGGAGAAATTTCTTCGCCTACTGCCTGTGGAATTGTCTACCACAGAAAGCCATTGAGGCCAAATCATTGAATGTTTTCAAAAAGGAATTAATATAGTCCTTAGGGCTAAAGAAATCAGAAGAGTCTGTGGAGAAAATTAGAACAAGGTACTGAGTTGGATGATCACCCATCACCATATTGAATGATGGAGCCAGTTTGAAAGATCAAATGGCCTAACCCCATTCCAATTTTCTGTGTTTCTATAAAAGCAGCTGACATATTTTACTTAAATTTATTAAATAAATCTGGAATGAAAAGCCACACTCAGTAATGGCCATGAAACCACCAGATTGACAGAAAAACCCATCTGGTTCACAAATATTCTTCAGGGAAAGAAACTGTCATCCTTACCTAGTCTGTTCTACACATGACTGGAGACCCACAGCAATGTGTTTGACTCTTAGCCCTTTGGAATGGCTGAACAAGACACTCGGTTTTATTTGTGAAGACAGCTCACCAGCAACATCTCTGTCGAGTTATCTCTGAGGTGAGTGGCCCATCTACCTACTCAGTTTTATGTCCCCTGACAAGCTGAAGTTCTGGCCTATTGTAATACATCTAGGTAGGGACCTTCACTGATTTGAATGATTGGTCACTTTAATTCTAATTTATTTGTGTGACTTCTGCAAATGAAAATTTTAAGAAGACTAGCTGGTATTAATGACCTGTTGGAAGACACTGATTATCAAACCTCTTGGAGGAGAGGGGAGGCGCTAGGACCCTGTGGCATTTTTCTGGCACCCAGCCTCTATCCAGGGGAAGGGCTGTGTATATAAGCAGGCTGAAAGCGGGCACAGTGTTCAATGCAGGATCTCTAAATTGCAGTACATCGGTACAAATTGGGGGAAAAGATGAGTATGAGCATCGAGACAATGCAGACCTCGTCTTACAGAAAGCGTTTTGGGGGCCTCAGTACCATCCCTCCGAGCAGATACAGCTTCACAAAGAGGTACCCAAGTAATGCAACAATCCTTTTGCAGTTTTGCTTGTAACCTGAGCCACAGCCTGTACAATGGGACTGTCAGACAGCAAGTTGCTGGAGCTCTGTAACTGGAACTGAGAGCTACACTTTCAGATACAGATACTGAGTGATCAGGAGTTTCAAACAACTTCCACCAGTTATTTGTCAACTCCTGGAAGCTGGACTGGTTTAGAACCGGTCTAGTCCCTTACTGTACAGTGCCTGGGCTCATTCAGAAATAGTTATTGCAGTTTGTTTGAACCAAACTTGTTCTTGTTTCAGTTAATGGGTTGGTCAAGAATTTGTCCAACTCTGGAACAATCTGTGGTGCTGTTTGTACCCAGTTGAGGTTTTTTAACCAAGTGTGCTGGTTCAGTGTCCTCGGTGTACCCATTGTTTAACTGTTCCTGATTAGTTTTACATTTTAAGACTTTTCATGCATGTGTGGGTTTACACAGAGCAGGCAAGCTGCAATCTGAATTTCAACAATTTGAGGGAGGGATGTAGGCTGAGGGGTTTGGAAAAAGTCTGTCAATATGGAAGAGAGGAGGGTATCATGATGAGGGGAAGAGAGAGAGAGTGGGGATCACTGTGGGGTGGGGTGTGAGGGAGAGAGGAGGGTATCAGTGGGGCAGGAAGAGGGAGAGGGTCTGTTGGGGGGATGAGGGATGGAAGGTGTCAGTGTTGGGTGGAGTGTGGGGAGGGGATGGCTGTCAGCATGGGGGTGAGAGTGGGGAGGGGCTGGGTGTTGGTGTGGGGGTGAGTGGTGAAGGGGCAGGTGTTGGTTTGGGGGTGAGTGGTGAAGGGGCAGGTGTTGGTGTGGGGGTGGAGAGTGGGGAGGGGGACAGGTGTTGGTGTGGGGATGAGTAATGAAGGGGTGGGTGTCGGTGTGAGGGGGGAAGAGTGGGGAGGCGGGTGCGGGTGTCGGTGTGAGGGGGGAAGAGTGGAGAGTGGGGA